AGCTATCGCGAAGTCTAGAACTTCCTCCCCTCCTAATTCATACTACCATACAAAAAACCTCCATGAACTGTCTCGAAACCTGCGCTTGTAGTACCTACATACCCATTAAGATCTCCTATAAAAAGCTTCTCGCTACTAGGTACAGCTCTAATCAGGCCATCTAAGTCTTCCCAGAACTGTCTCTTAGCACTCTCGTCGAGGTCTACTTGAGGGCAAACGCACTAATTACGTTCAAGACCATGGCCCCGTTCGCTTGTCTTAAAGTTTGGCTTGTTCGGCTTGTTTTTTCAGCCGGAACAGTGTTTTTCTCTCTCAACAATTTAGACGGAACAGTGTTTTTCAGCCAGTTTCAGCCAAAGTTCAGACCAGCGAACGGGGCCCATATCACCAATGACAAGCTTGACTAAGATAATCCTATCTCCTTGCCTTCTCACTCCCACCACATCATTCTTGAGGCTCTTATCAATCAAAACTCCTACTCTATTTCTATTCGCGACTGTCCCTGTGTACCAAAGCTTGAAACCTGTATTGTCCACCTTCTTCGCCTTCTGACCCTTTCATTTAGTCTCTTGAACGCATAATATATTTACACGTCTCCTAGTCGCAGTATCAACTAATTCTTTTAGCTTATTTGTAAGCGACCCTACATTCCAACTACCTAAACGGATCCTAGTTGGTTCGACTAGCTTCCTTACCCTTCGCACCCGTCGACTCAGATGTGAAGATCCTTGCTCATTTTTCACTACACCCGGACGCCGATGTAGCGCGCCACTAAAGAAGCGACGACCTGATCCTTGCTCACTTGACACCATGCCCAGATCGCGACACGACGCGTCACCAAGGGGGTGCCGACCCGGTCCTTGCCCATTTAACACCATACCCGGGTTCCGATATGGCGCATCGCTAAGAGGGTTACGCCCCAACGGTTTTCTTTCAGGTTTCATCTCCATTAGAATGGCTAGATTTAACGTTGGCTCGCCGCGCCTGTCACAACCCTCCTCCTTTACCAGGGTTTGAGACCTGCTATGTTGAGACAACATAGACGGAGTTCATTTGGTTATATTTATAAAAAATATTATCTACGTACATTTGAATCTTCAACTAAGTTTATTATACAAATGTATTTCATGATTAGTTAAAATTTAGATTTTTTGACTCCATGGGAAGCAAGGCTTCCATTCTTTTGGGACAGAGGAAGTAGCTGTTATCTTTTCCTGGCACCGAGCATTTAGGGTCGGGTCGGCTAAGGATTACTCCCTCTCTCTCTCTCAAAAAGAAAATGTCATTTTTGCTATAAATCCATTTATCCATATTCGTACTTTTTTTATTCACTGATAAGATTCATACTTTTTAGAGACGGAGGAAGTACAGCTCTACTAGCATTTGGCAAGCAAGATACATGAGAGATCATCACGGGCCCCCCACTAGCTCGAATGTGTAACCACGAAGTACATTGGATACTGAGGTAGAGCTGGAAACTGAGATCTGACAGTCAGGCTCTGTAACTCCAGGCCACAGCACAAGAATGTTTACACAACAGCACAGTACGACGTAGAAGTTACAGAGGGCATGGCCGTTCTACGGTTTTGTGTACAGATGAAATTACCTCTACTACTCAAACGTGGCACCACAGTGTGTTGAGCATCATCTATTCTGTTCAGAGTTACAATTTGCGCTGCATCTACACTTGTTTGAGTGAACAGATTCCCAGGTCTCATTGCGGCTGAGCAAGTGGCTGGACGGCAGTTCTGAAGAGAAGAATGTAGACCTTGTCAACGGAGAAGTACAAGAAACCTCCCAATGAGTGAGTGACATAGGAACCAAAGCTTGTGCCGACAATGCAGTGCCATGCAGGCCCATATGTTGTATCGAAATCCTTCGAATCACAAAAAAAAAGAAGGAAAGAATCAGTCATCAGATATCATGAACAGTGAGAATCGAAGAACACAATCATGAAAATAAAATGCTTGATACTTCCAACCAAACACAACAGCAGCCAGCAGGTCATCAGGCACGTCACATAAGGCACTACCTTGTGACTTGAGAGAGAAGAAAAGGACTACCTTGTGACTTGAGAGAGAAGAAAAGGACCACCGATCTAGCAGGGGCAAACAAAAATCCAGGGAGCAATGCATGCTAACATGTGCAAACAATTTAAAAAAAATCATTTTTTTTTCTTTTCTTGAACATGCAAGAAAATTGTGTATAATTTCATTAAGAGAGAAGAGAACACACAAAGGGAATGTTTGTGGACAAAAAACTGGCAACATAGTTGTAGCAAATTGCCAAATTTTAACATTAACCCACACCCACATGGTCACATGTACATCATGCCTTTTTCTTTCTGTGGAAATCTAAGAAAGTTTTTCCAATGGTGCCAGCATTCTTGTTTCTCTATATAAGAAATATGGCTAAATTCAAGAATACAATAAAAGGGATACTTTACATGCATTAGCAGGTAAGCGAGACCAAGTAGAAAGGGGGAAAGAACATAAATAGCAACAACTGAGGTTGTTGGCTCAATATTGTGGCAAAACCAACCAAATCTTATTACCTTAGTTTCATGACTCATAACCAACTTATGCCGCAAAGGGTGCAGATAAGGAATAAGGAAGACGCTCCAACACAGACAAGTAGAAGTAGTAGCTATGTGAAAAGTAGGAGCAAATCTAACTCTGTAATTCTAAGTGCCTCCATTATTGTTTAACAGGGAAAGCGAAAATGGTTTTTTTTTTGGCTTGATTTTTTGCAGCCCCATATTAATTCCATTGAGTGATAAGTGGGTTGTGTCGTGCCTTCCACAGCGTGAGTGTTGCCTAATACTGTTCATGTCTGCTACCTCACAGTGATGCTTTATTTGGTTTTTTGCTGCAGCGCGTAACTTCAAACTTTTTCATCTTAGTGGGTCCCACAAACAATAAACAGTGGCATAATTAACTAGCCTCAGGAAATCGGTGTGCAATGAACAAAATATTCCTTTTTACAGTTTGGGCATTGATGCATCTAGTTGCTCCGTTCCCCAATTTCCTGGCATCATCACCGGTAGTTGCAGTGTGAGAAGTGTTGCCTGAGAATTCTCTCTTTGAAGCATCATCGTAAGCCTACGCTGTGGAAGGCCTAAGGGACCCCCTCCCTCCCTCCCTCATACAAACACAACTCTCATGCATGTTCGACAAAAAAAAGGTTGGTTAGACAATCAAACATGAGTTAGTTAGACAGAAAAGAAAATGAAAGAAACCTGCCAGAATTAGAGAAGTGATGTTATTTTGCTGTGCAGGTGTACTTTGAGCACTACAGAAAACGAGGAACGATATGGTATCAACAACAAGCTGATGAAGGACCCAACAACAGTGCTGCAGAGAGCAAAAAGCTTAATCAATTGAAGATTGTCTTGACAAGGGGAAGAGTCTGTGGAGGTGGAAAGGCTAATGGGGAAGTTTGCTGAGCATCTGAAGCAAGTCTGAAGATAGTGGTGGCTGATAGTTGGTGTTGAAGATTCTTGGTTTTGTTTTGGATGGTTTTTGCCGGAGGGTCGTTGGCAACTGCTGTGGAAGTTTGCAGTTTGACTAATGTGGTCTTTTGTATTTTTGGTGGTTTGCTAAGTGTGTTGAGGACTTGAGGTAGGAGTCGAGTCAGTTTCAGGCAGTGCTGTGCTCAATGACCTGTTTTAGAACTGTGTGGTAAACTGCTGTCCCCCAGTTATGTACTCTGTTAAGCTTTCACTAAAAGCTGGGCCGGTGATGATTTTGTTGTGATAAAATAAATAAATAAATAAATATGGAAGAAGTTCTTAGGCGAACTTCATTTGGCATCACCATTAGATCAGATCAATGAAGCCATAACGTGCAACAAGGAGATGGAGTAACTCTCAGTGATGACAGGTACAAAGACATTATATCCTGGAATCAACAGCATATATCAAGCACCACTTAGAGCACCCTCAACAATATAGTTCACTTGCTAGCTCAAAAAAAAGATAAAAATAAAGTAACCCAACATGCTAGTATAGAAAAATGTGTAAGCATAGACACATACATCATAAAAAAAAGTGTATGAGCTTAGCTCTTCATGAAGAGCTAACTTATCATTATCTCTCCTTCTTACTCAATAAAATATCCTATGAGCTAGCTCTTCTAGTATTGTTGGAGCTGCCCTTACCAGTCAGAAATTGAGCACTTTCCATCTAAAGGTGATCTCAACTGTGTGACTCCATGATCATATGACTTGCTACGAATCACATTTACTGGTTTTCTTCCAATAATCCTCCTATACCCCTCTCCCCTGCATTCACTATTTCCTTGTCGCACAAAAACATCAGCCCTTCATTGGCGGACCAGTCTCCCGGTTCGTAGAGCATGCTTAGTCGTCATCTATATATTAATTTGAAATAAGATTGCAACATGAAACTGCTAGAGACGACCTATATAGCAAAAGCATTAACTACTCTTGCACATCCTCTGAGCACTATACATATCTCATAAATAGAGTTCTTTGTAAGCTGCATAGTGGATCAGCTCTCGTAAATGAAAGTTTTGATCCATCTGATCTGGCAACGTCTCTGCCTCCCGAGCATGTGCATCAAATTTGAGAGCTAAACATCTACTTGAATCCTTCCTACGCTCTAGATCTTATTCTGAATCGACTTAGCCACAAATCTGCGTATGCATTTGTCCTTGATTTGTGGCCACGCACAGACATGGATGAAATGAACATGCTTTTGATTTTTTTATTTTGACACTACTGGTTCAAATAAACAAGAAGAAAAACCTTTCTGTCCAGTGTCGACGGTTACCTTCTTGAGCGCGAGCGCGAGGCGCTTGCTCTCGAGCCGCGGCATGGCGGCGACGGCCTCTACGGCGACCCGGACGGCGCGCCGCTGCAGCGACAGCGGCATGTCCGCCGCGCGCACGCACACCGCCACCTTCCTCCCCTCGGCCGCCTTCATTTCCCCCCTGGCGGCCTTCACCGCCACCGCCGTCCTCTCCTCCTCCTTCCCTCCCTTACTCCTCGCCGCCGACGTGCGGGCGCGGCGGCGCCTTGAGCTCCGGCTCCACGTCCGCCTTGGCCTTGGCCTCCACCGCCTCCGCCTCCGGCTCGGGCTCGGGCTGCGGCGGGTCGGCGAGCTTGGTGCGGCGCACGAGCGCGCTGAGGTAGCGGCTGCGGCGCTCGAGCTCCTCGGAGGCCGGGTCCATGGGGGCCGGCGCTCGTGCTCCAGGCGACAAGCAGCTGGCTTGCGGGCGGATCCTCCCACGGCGCCGGCGGCACTCAGCAGCGGCGGTGGCAAGGCGGCATGGCGAACCGCGTGGGAGGAGGAGGAGGGGACGTGGGGTGGGAGGGGAGATGGCGAGGTGATCTGGCTCTCTCGGCCTCTGGAGGGAGACAGGGAGTGGTGGTCGGCTGGGTTTTTCGTTTTCCTTGGGGTTTGGCCGCCTTGGGGTGGGGGTGGGGGTGGGGGTGCGAGTGCGACGCGAGGCGAGGTTTGGTTGCTGCTCCAGGAATTCGTGGGAGCAGCTTTTGAGACGAGGCGTGAGTTTCCTTTTCCTTCCCAAGACGAGCTTGTTTTTGCTGTTTGGAGCCGCTTCTTGTTTGGGTACGATCGGATCTTTGAGCACGACGCTGACGTCTTTCATTCAGACTCCTATACAGTCTGATCGACAGGAGGGTGAGTGATTGTTGTAGCCTGTGGCTTGGTCACCTTGGCAGTGGCCAGCCGGCATGACACGAGATGGCTAGAGCAACTGAGGCTGTGTTTAGTTCGCAAATTTTGAGAATTCAGCTACTGTAGTACATTCGTTTTTATTTGTCAATTAGTGTTTAATCATGGACTAATTAGGCTCAAAACGTTCGTCTCGCAATTTCCCACCAAACTATACAATTAGTTTTTTTTCGTCTACATTTAATACTCCATGCACGTATCGCAAATCACTTTTTAGAATTTGGTTGGTAACTAAAATAGGCCTGAGCAAGTAGACTCCACTCCGTAAGCATAGCATAGCATTCACATGGTCCCACCGCACCTGAGGTCCCGTTTAGATTCTAAAAAAATTTGTGTAGTACCCATCACATCAAATTTTACGGCACATGCATGGAGTACTAAATGTAGACGAAAAAAAAACTAATTGCACAGTTGGGTGAGAAATCGCGAGACGAAACTTTTGAACTTAATTAGTCCATAATTAGACATTAATTATCAAATACAAACGAAAATACTATGGTAGCCAAAATCTAAAAAATTTTGGATCTAAACGGGCCTGACTTGACTATCCGTTGGATTCGGCCTGGGCGTTTGACAAACTGTCGGGCGGGCGAGGCGACCAGCACCCACTGCCGGCTGCCGCGTCGCGTCGGCGTCGCCCCGTCAGGCCGTCACTACCCAACGGCCCCGCCACCCGCTGCTTCCGCGGATCGAGCAACCCCACCACGACGCAGCGGGGCGCGCGCACGAGGCCAGTGGTCAGCCGCGATGGGCCAAACTGCCCAGAGGTTCCGGCGAGACGGGCCAGGCCGAACGCTCTCCTCGGTCGAGTGGACGACGGGGCACGAGCCGGCAAAAGCCTTATTTCTTTCGTTTCATGGGATGCAAATGCAACGCGCTGTTTCAGTGTTTCTGAGCTGCCAATTTTAGACGTGTGTTATGCAACAAACAGATGCATTGTTCCGGTGTGAGATGAAAACGATGGAAAACGGTATTATATAGTTTACGGAATCTGAAAGCAAAAAAAAAAAATTGTCATATTTATAGAAGAAAGATTTACAAAATGGTTATGCCAAAATTGTAAAATGACAAATGATCGTAGTTCTGGGCTAAGACATACTCCCTCCATACCTCAATTAGTTGTCGTTTAGGACATGATTGTGCTTACCAAGGAGTAATTAATTAGAGGATATTTTTCTCTATCTGCCCCTATTAAATACGGTTGTGGATGCAACCTATATGAGAAACAATCATGGTTCAGACTGGCTAGTGCAGTGAGGCTAACGCCCTGAGGACAAGGGCGAGGGTTTGATCCCTGGCAGCCATATCCTTTTTTGCTGTCACTGGCGATTTTGCATGGCACTGTTTCTGTGCAAGTGGCGTTTGTGCTGGGACTCGCTGTGAGTGGCAATTTTGCATGGCGCTCGCTGGGTCGGGTGTGGACGCGTTGCTGCTCATGCGCGCGCGCGTTTTGGCCCGTGCGCGCTCTCGTTTTTTGCGCGGTTTCGAATGTTTAGCGACGCGCGCGTTTAGCCTTCCATACAGCTCGTTCTTTGGCGCTTTTTTTCGTTGCATATCACCGTGCGCGCTCTCGTTTTCTCTGGCCGTCTGTCCATCTACCCCTTCCTATTTAACCGGTGCTACATCCTATCCATCTCAACCTCTTCTATTTCCATCTGTGCCGTGCTCCACTGTTTCCTTCTCCACTTCTTCTCTTTTCTCTGTACTGCAATGGCTAATCCATTCGATTTGAACGTTCGTTTAGAAGAAGATGATGACGACAATCTTCCATTCGATCTCAATGAGCCAATAATGGAGGATCACACCACATATGGTAATGTACTCAGTTTGTTTGTTCTTTTTTTTTGATATTCAAATCAACAACGTGTAGTTTTGTTTCTCATTTTCTTTCTTCTTTTTTTTTGATAGGGTTTGATTTGAACTTGCCACTAGACGAGTTTGGTGCGGTTGATTTCAATTATGTACAAAACCTGCCCGGTAAGTTTTATGAATGAGTTTGTTTTTTTCTATAGCTAGAACATGCCGTGGCTAATTATTACTATGAATGTGCTTGTTTTTTTTCCTTTTGCTAGAACAAGATGTTGAGGCTCCCGTTCAAGTAAACCGTCCAAAGCATGACATGCCTGAAGAAGTTAGAAAACAAGTGTACCAAGCATTGTTGGCTAGAAGCAAAAATGGGAAACTAGGCAAGAGAGATACAAGCATTGTTGCCGATCAGTTTGGTGTACACATTCGATTGGTTCAGCGCTTATGGAAGCGAGGTAAAACCCAACTTGCTCAAAACATTCCGGTCGTGATTGAGCAAGGTTTGGTTGGTGATCCAAAGTTTAAGAATTTTTTTGACTTTGTGTTCATTGATGAGAAATGGTTCTACCTTTCTCAAAAATCCGAGAAATGTAGTAAGAATGTAGTAGTAGCAAATTAGATTTTGCAAGCCGAAGCAAGACATGTACCTTACTCTTCATGTTTGCATCTTCCTTCATCTTTGCATCTTTGAACTTCTTCATGTTGTAGATCTCGTCCACCTTCTGTTCAACGTGTTCAGGTACTAGTATTGTGTCTCCATCCATCTCAAGTTTGTCCACATCAGGGATGAACAGCTCGCAATCAAATTTGTCTATGCCATGTAGTATCCAAGTAGTGAGATCGTAGTCATCATGAACAAGACGGCAACGTGCACACCTGCGAGCTTCGCGGCGAGCTTGGAAGCAGGCTTCTCCGAAGACGCCGCCACCGTGGAACATGCCGCAGCGAGCGCACTGCACCTCGACGGCGTCCGGCGCGATGTCGAGGGAGTCCGGCACCACCTCGACGTTGAACGGGGCGATGTCAAGGGAGTCCGGCACCACCTCGACGTCGAACAGGGCGATCTCGAGGGAGTCCGGCACCATCTCGACGTCGTCTGGGTCGATCTTGAGGGAGTCCGAGTCCAGCGCCATCTCAGAGGCAATCGTCATCTCCGAGTCCGGCGCGACCTCCGCGTCCAGCGTCTCCTCCATGGCGCGAGTGACCTTCATGGCGCCGGACTCCTCCATGGTGCGAGCGACCACCATGGCGCGAGGCTCCTCCATGGCACGACCGATCTCCTTGGCGCGAGCTTCCTCCATGGCGTGAGCTTCCTCCGGGCGGCGAGGGACGTGAGCGCGCTGATGAGATAAAGGGAGGCGAGCGTGCTGTGGGCGAGCGTGTGTGGTCTGCCTTGATGCGAGAGCCGACGGGCGGCGACGCAGCGAACCGAGGCGACGCGCGATTAATTGCGAGTAGTTGGCGAGCGCAACGGGCGGCGATGGGAGGGGCATTCGCGTCCATAAGGCACTACACGGGCGAGCGACGACAGGCTTTGTGAAAATGGGCTTAGTGCCCAGAACGACAGCTAATACGGGTATGGAGGGATACACCGAACTGTCTGACGGCGAGGAAAATACACACGTCTAACAATTCATGTACAATGCTACAAACATTAAGGGAATGTTTGGTTATGGGCAGCGGCGGATTCAAGCGGGCGGGGGATGAATTTTTAGGCAAAGTTCTATTGTGTAGGTGGAGCTGAAACTTAAGATCGAGCAGCAGTCGGATGTATGTTGCTGTCGCACTTTTGTTCAGCCCCCCTAAAAATTTTCCTGGATCCGCCGCTGGTTATGGGCCACGCTGCGCCATGACTGAGTTACGACGAGTTGTGGAGGCGGTGCTGAAATCCTTCGTGTCGAGGATATGTGCCAGGAGGCTTCGACTGACAACCGTTGCGGGTCCTCTGACCGCAGCGCGTGCGCGGTGACCACGCTCCCGCGCCCACGCGCAGCCACGACGTACACGATGTACTCTAGCGTAGGCATACGATTGCCAAAGCAACCATGTTGTAACACTATAAACATTGTTCAGAGATCAATAGAACACCTGTTGGCTCTTGTTTCCCTTTCTACATGGTATCAACAAGCTCGGGTTGATCCCTCACCATCGTGCTCGCTACATCGCCGCCTCCTTCCCTCCGCTCTGTTGCCTCTCCCCGGCTATCGCCATGCCCACCATGGACGATAATCCCCTCTTCGGTCTCGGTTCTTTCGACTCCAACGACAACTCCGATGTTTCCTTCAACTCCTCTATCGGCGACGATGCCCCTGCCACCACACCTCCCACCGCAATGCTTCAAACCGTCAACATCAAATCCCACATCCCAGTCGTTCTCGAGCTCGCCATGCCGAACTACGACGAATGGAGATGCTTCTTCGACGCATTCCTCGGCAAGTTCAGCCTCACCTCCCACGTCTCATCTCCGCCAACCGCTGACCAGCGCCATGATCCTGACTGGCGTGTGGTTGATCAGTGCATCTTGAGTTGGCTGTACAACTCCATCACCAAGGACGTGCGCGACATCGTGTGTCGTCCGAAGGCGATCACGTACCGCGTCTGGGGCACTATCCACGATCAATTCCGCGACAACGAGCTCCATCGCGCTGTCTACCTAGAGGAGGAGTTCCG